GGGGGGAAGAAGAGATCTGCCTGCTTCTTTGAAAATGATGGTTTTCCTGCAAAGAGAAAAATTGCCCACCTTTAGACATCAAATGATTACCAACTAAATAATATAGCCAAAGATGCTGAATAACCATGGAGAAATACAGCAGTTGAGGAAGCTAACCTGGTTGTGCACCAAGCTCAATGACATGCAACTTTGATGTTATCTGCCCAGCATTAAAGCTCTTGCTTGCAAAGGATATAAGAACAGAAGGATTCTCATTCCCAGGAACCTGTCATTAATAATATTGATTGTCATACTACAGTTCACGATTAAAGCACGAAGTGAACTCACATAGGAACCACATAGTTAACCTTAAACTGAGCAAATGAAGCAGCATGCGCTTCAAGGGCCTGGCTCCGCTGTTGATTTACAGAGAATAGCTGCATATTCCCTTTTACCAATTGTGGTCTCTACATATGGTTAAAGATACGGTCAAGAATATATGCAATGAAAGCCTTTATTTGACCTTATATGTGGCGCAGAAAACCTACCTCAGGAGAGCCAGGAGCAATACCAATCAACACCAACCACTTCTCATCAGGAGAGCACTTATAGTTAATTATTTGATTGTTTGCCAAATTGGCAGTTCTATCAAACATCTTAACTGGCTCAGAATCACCTTCAATCGACCAATGATACACGGAAGCTTGTGTGACCAGCCCCAACATCTTTGGTGTAATCCATTTCCAAAAAGCAACCTATAAAACATGGGGGGTAATATCCAAAAAATAAATTCAGGACCAGCAAATCAGACTCTGATAACGTGTACAACATGAAACATAATCGAGTAACAAAAAGTTCATGCTCACCTGCTCAGGCATCTGATGTGATTTCAACTTTGCTTTCGCTTCAATATTAAATATCTGTAGATGGTCCTGAGTAGTTCCTGGAACTTGAGCTATACAACAATTAAAGAAATAAAATGAGCAATGATAGTTCAAGAAAAAAACAACTTCAAAACGAAACTATACAATTTTATCAATAGAAAGAAACAGACAGATACCTTTCAAGGCAAGGATCCTCGAGTTTGGATTCATAAGCGCAGAATCAGCAGTAATAGGTCTCCTTAGAGGCTGCATCGGCATGTTCATATCGATAATCACGACGCTGTTCTGCGGTGCAGTCTCTCGTACACATATGTACTTATCAGACTCCATAGTAACATTCGTAAACGTGATGAATTGCTGGTTGATCCCAATGCTCGGAAGCTGCAAAAAAATTCCAAAAAAAAAAAAAAATCATCATGTCGCATAGTTCAATAACTTAGTTACTAGATCCGAGTGAAATCAACACACTGGACTACACAAAAACATTGAAATCGAGGCTCGATACATTGAGGTAACTCAGATCTGAGCTTATGCTTATGATAAGAGATCAATCCATGAAAAAAATTGACTGATACGGCAACGTTTTCGAGCAGAATTCGAAAATGGAATCGATCATAGAGACTAGAGCTAATCGTCTAAAAATCCAGCTTGATTCCAAGAGATATGCATAAGTTTCTATAAATAGAGGCGAAAGAGGGAGAGAGAGAGGGAGAGCTTACCGTTAGGACCTCCTTCATCGTGATTGGGGCGTTTGCTGCCGCCATGTTTGACCTCAGATCGCAGCAAGAGGATCTGGCGGTGGAATCAGATCCAAGGCCGGGGAGAGACCGTTAACGGCCACGAGAGAGGAGCGATGTGAAGAGAAGGTTTTGAAATCGCTGCCAGATCTGAGGTAAGTGATGGAAGGAGAGGAAGATACTTTTTTCGCCTTTGGTGTAGTGAGAAATGACGAACAGCGATCCAATCTAGCCACTCGTCGAATATAAGGGGAGGAAAGCAAAGGAGACGGACGACGTGCTGTTTTGCAAATTGACGGGTCGGATCGGGTGGAGTTTGATCCGGGTCAAGCATTGGGTCGGGTTTTTGTCACAAGGTACTTGTGGAATTTTATGCGGATGTTTTTTATTTTGGGGGGGGGGGGGGAGATACAAAAATGGAAGATATCTAAGAGCATGTTTATTGCAAAAACACTTGAGGGTTCCTTAAGTGGGCCTTAATGATTTTTTAATTATAAATTTTAAGATAGGAGACTTGATTAAGGGACACACAATTATAAGGGTTTATTGGTGGTTCCTTAATTTAAGTTTTTAGAATAAAAAAATAATTTTTTTTTTTTTTAACATAGAATTTTTTTAAGAGTTCAAATTTATTTATGTTATAAAACAAAGTATAACATAACATTTTAAACATATAATTTAAAATAAAAACATAAAAACAAACGTATAATTTTATTTACCTAGTTGTTGTTCACACTAAGTCACTAATGGTGGTCATGTTCTTGCTCTCCATCGGATAAGTAGGTACACTCGTCACGGTTCAAAACTCGGTACTCATGACGGGTCAAGGAATGTTGCTCCACTCTGCATCACTGGAGGTGGAAGTGGGGTCTCTCTGGGATACTCCCATTTCCTTGCCTGCAAAAGAAAAAATGTCAGGCCAAGAAAAATAAAACTTGGTGCCATGATCTCCGTGAAGTTCACAAACTATAGAAAACCGATTAAAATGGAGAGAGACTGAACAAACGTTTCAGAACATAAATAAAAAAAGAGTTGTGTAGAAAAGAAGTAAGGAGGTTACTTGGAAGTAATCAAAAGCCCTGGAAGGTATGTTATCATCTCCCATGGTCCATTTCCCACCCTTAAACATGTCTATAATTGCGAAGTATCACTGTTTCTCCAGAATTCATAATATCAACTACAAACAACAAGAACAGCAAAACATGAATCAATCCAATCAATAAGCCACAAGTATTCCACAAACACTGATACAATACTAATCATATCACACCAAACACTGAACCAAGCACTAATAAAGATTTGCGGAAACGAAATTACAGAAACTTGCACAGAGACATCACTACGATGAAGACAAAACACTGGTCTTGTGCAGATGTACACAATAACTCCGTTCCCATTTTCAGACACGATGGTAGCTTTTTGTAATATATCACCAACGATCAAACATCAAAAGCATTAATTTACATAAACACATTACTACGGTGAAGACAAAACACTAAATCTTAAGCAAAATATGTTCTCTTTTTCAGACAAGATAATAGTTTTTTTGCAAAGGAACAGTCTTTTCAATATCAAAAACACCATTTATCATCGACAAAGGAAGTGTACTGCAACAGGAACAAAAAGGAAGGAACTGATTACATAACACACACAAACAAAATAACTTTTAAATAGAAGAATCAATAGTATAATATTCATACCTTGCTTTGACAATTGCATCAACAGTCTTCTCTTGGGGACTTAACCGCCCATGTTCCGTATCCACACTTCTTGTTACCTGAGATTGATTCCAAATTGATATCCTTAGACACAGAGGTTAGAATGATCATATCACAAGCTTAGGCATCACAATATTAACCTTCGGCTATAATCACTAAGACATGATATTAACCACTACTCTGTAATCATTCAGTCAGATTTTAACACTTTTTTAGGCAAATTCAACAGTTTTCTTACCTCGCCGAGATCCACTGATAGCGCCGTCGCCGTCGTCGAGGCCGAGATCCACTGATAGCGCCGTCGCCGTCGTCGAGGAGAGCCACCGAGACGGAATCGCCATTCAAATCCCCTTTGAACACGAGAGAAAACGAACCGAAAAAGAGAAAGGAGAAAAAGAAAATTTTGTCGAAACCCCCACACTGCTCCTCTCTCGCGACACCTGGCTGGTAAGGGACGCCTCTTTGTGTCCTTAATGAAACAACGCCCCTTGCTTTAATCCGATTTTTTATTTAATTTTAATGTCTAATTATACTAACAACCCCTCTTAAGGGACCCTAATAAACCTGCTCTAAGACCATGATTATTGCTGTCCCTTAAGAGGGTTGTTTAGCATAAATAATATTAAAAATAAGTAAGAAGGAGTGATTAAATGAAAACACGCCCCTTCCTGAAGCTCTCTAAGTCGCGCCCCTTCAGCCACGTGTTACAAGATTATTCGCTTGACAATAGGTGGAGTCGATGTGTTTTGTGTTCTTTATTTTCATTCTTTCTTTCTTCTTTCTCTCTCTTTTATGTTCCTATTTAAAAAAATCATAAAACCCACTTAAAGGACACTTAATGGTTTTTGCAATAATCATGGTCTAAAAGGGTTAATTTGCTGAATAACCAAAATGAAAATGGAAATTAAATATATGACACTGATTTTGTGGGCGATTATCTTAGCTAAACCAATTCAATATTTCTGCATGTAACCAAACAAGGCAGTATCTACCTTCACATTCCACGTTATAACCAATCTATATGTTATGCATCACAGATAGAAAAAGGGAGGAGTTGAACCGAATTAAACCGGGTATGGTAAATATTTGCATGAGCATGGAGGGGAACCGAGTTTGGAGTGGATTTGAAGCTTGGTAGGAATGTGTATTTGGTAGATAAATAAAGTGATGGGAGATTGGGAGTCGTTGAAAGAATTGGTAAGAGATTATTTTCAAATATTTGGCATTGGAGTCTTGGAGGTGTTTTAACAATTGTACATTCCAGTATTCATCTATATGACCACAACTACAACCACCCAAAAGAGAGCCCCAGGCACTTGACTAGCATGAGGTTCCACATGCATGATTATAATTAGCTCATATGGTTATTTATGCTTTCATGACCAACAAAGTAACAAGAGGCCACAATGTCATGTTCAGTTCCTATTATTAAGTCGAAACACCTTAAGCCATCCTCAGAATAATAAAGCAGACATTCTAACTTATCCTCTGCCAATCAGTTTTCCAAAATAGTTCCAGTAGTCTAATTTCTCACAGAGTCATTGGTGTAACCAAAGAGTTCACGAACATTTAAACAAAATTCACTCAAATTTTATGGAATAATAAAAGTAACAAGAAGACTTGGCTCTAGTCTCATTTCAATCCAGGGAATAAACAAATTAAACAACAATTCTTAAATACTTCTAAGGTTTGATTCTGTATCTGTCAAGTGGATCCTTGAAGAAGAGACGTTCATGGTATACTCTCCATGCGTAATCCTCAAAACAAAAAGACTGAAATGCCTTTCTCTCATCACTTCTCGATCCGCCTTCCTCCTCATCCTCTGTGTTCTCTTCTTCTTCTTCTTTGTTTCCGTCACTGATATCTTTCAGTGGGGAAATCATAGAGTCTATTGGAAGTGTAAGCATCAAAGTCATTGTTACACACTTTCTTGGATCATCAAGTTGTCCTGAGCACACCACCGGTCTATATCTCACTCTTTTCAGCTCTCCATTTCTCCAAACCTACAAATTTCAAATTGTTTTATAGAACGTCTAAAGTTAATCGTAGAAAATTTCGGACCATAGAGACTCATCGTCCCTTGGTATCAAGAACGACACAGCAAGTTAATTAGTTTTACGCGGTGATCAAACTCAAAACTTGGTAAGTCTTCCCTAAAAGTTCCATGCGTTCAACCGGTTGAGTTACAAACTCTTGACGTATAAAATTGAACTTTACAGTTAACCTAGAAATAAAAATTATTTTTCGCTAGTATTTAATTGTGATTTACCTAAAAATTACCAATTGAGAACCTCTTGGATTTTCTAGGAAATTTGTTGAATTTTTTTGGACAATTACTAGTTCAATATAGGGGGAAATGAATATGGTTTGTTTTAAAATGGAGAATATCCAAATTTATATTTTCTTTCCCAAAGCCATTAAAAATCTGCCTCAAATGGAAAACACATTCCCATATAAATCCAATAAACATCCCGTAAATTTCGCCCGCTCCTGCTCCACAATTATTTGCTGTGTCAACAGTCTCAGTATGGGAAATATCAAAATTCTATCTCTTTCTGATCAATGCGTGGAAAACATTTATTTTGAAAATGACATGCATGTGTATTATGCTATTTAAATAATAATATGATGACATAAAATAATTCGAAGCAGCCATAAATTTACATACCATCACAAATATGATAATGTAATAATTAAACTGATTAAAAAATTGCTAACTAATTATGATCATTAAAAAAAATATAGAGGGAGAGACCAACCTGAGCAATGTCACCTAGCGTCACAAGAACCGAGCCAACTCGAGGCGATACAGACACCCAGCCAGATTCCGACAGCAAACAATACTTCTGTTCCCTTATCTGATACTGTAAACAGACAACAAACGGATAAAACCCGTTGGTTATTGCCGGTTTATCATCCGGAACATCTTGGTTAAGCCACATCAGAGTACTAAACCGGGTAGAGTCATTTCCAAACGGGTCCTTGAACCCTAATGCTCTCACCAGCATCTCTACCGTCTTAAGTCCAACTTTCTCGAGACTCCGAGTGAACTCGCTCAGTGAGCTTAGCTTCAACTCGCCAGACTCGGTTGTACAGTTTAAGTCTAAGCAAAACGACGGCGTTTCAGCGTCGGCTTCGTATCCAAGTGGCCAGTTTTTTGGAAAGGTTGTTTCCTTCTCCTCCTCAGTTAGCTCTAAGAGAGAAAGAGCTTCAGACTCGGCAGCTTCCGCGAGTCCAGAAGTGATGATAGTGTCCGAGTCAGCGAGTTGGAAGTAGCCGAACTCAGTAGCGGCGGAGATAAGATCGTCGGAGCTCTCGGCGGAGAGAGTTACCGTTGGAAGAGAGGCTACAGTGGAGGATAGGGAAGAGGAGCGGCGGTTAGGGAGTGAGAGATTAGGAGGGAGACGGTTGAAGAGGCGGGAGAGAGCGTCGGCTGTTGACTCCGACTTGGTGGTGGTGTTGCATGATGGAGTTGGAGGAGGCGCCGCCGTGGCTCCACCGTTGATGTTTGGAAGTTGGAGGTGGTTCAGGTGGGCCGAAGAGGAAGACATTTTTAAAGTTTGATGCCACGTTGTGAGAGAGGCAGCTTGTATTATATGGATGAACAAGAGTATTTGTCAAAACATATGTAGACCTTGCGTGTACGCATGGAGTATTATAAGACTTTACTCACACGTGTGAGTGTGTGTTTTAACCTAATTTTGTAGATATGATTTAAGATCGTAAACAAATAAAATAAGGTTGTTGAATAAATCAGCCGGATGTTTAATTGATCGATTAAAGCCAGAAGAAATTGATTAACTACAAATTGCAAAAGGATAGAAGAATTTTGCATATGTTGTATGTACAACTTGTAAGGAAAAAAGGAACATTTTTTTTTGTGTATGAATACTTTTTTGCTAAAAACACAATTTTCATATTTTGTTACTAGTTTTGTGGGGTCGTTTAAATGTATAAATATAGAATGCGGTTTAACGAAACCAATACGATCGACTATTTTGTTACGTCCTTCAGACTGAAACATGCATTTTTAGAGACATACCAAAATTTGTAATCATAAGAATGTATGTTTACAAAATGAGAATAATATATGACAAAATATAAATTTAATATGTATGTCTTTATTTACTTAGAAATAATATCTGATTTGACATCCTTACCAGTTACCATACACATATTTTGTTGTATTTTACTTCCATTTTTTCGTTTCGTGAGTTAACCTCAACTGATGTATTTAGTTAAATATGAAAATCAAAACTATGTTTTAGCGAGACAACTATGTGTATCGAGTAACTCAACTGATGTATTTAGTTAATATGAAAATCAAACTTTATCTGATAAAACTAATCAACTAACCAGACAAGCAAGGGTATGTGGGATGATGTCAGGATAACTGAGTTTGTGATATAGTTATATGCATGCGCACAGCGCATATATACAAATAATACCTTATAAAGTTTTGGTTGGCTGTCCAACATATTCCCAACCTTTGCGTATTATTATTCTCTAATGTCCCTTACTTTATGGGAGATGTATGTTTGTATATGGTCTAATCCAGGCTACTCGCAGAATTATTGGTTCCCCACTTTTTCTCACACTTATTTCCTTCTTTTAAGATCCAATTTGCCTTAGTTATCTACTTATCTGTTCCCACTATCTATCCTTAAAACATAGTAATATGTTGTGTTTTTGACACCATTCTCATGTGTTTTTGATATCATCTAAGTGCTATCTTGGAGTTTTCTTAGTGTGTTTTAAGTCATTTCAGGTGGAGAATGTGTTGGATTGCACTGGAGGTACGCATGAGTGAAAAGGTGCAAGAAGAGAGTGTTTTGTTTCGCAGAGCAAGCATATGGGTAGGCACACACATCGCGGAGCAAGCATATGGGTAGGCACACACATCGCGGAGCAACCCCTGCCTTTCCACCACCTTGCTCCCGCGTTTTAATGAGCCATGATCTATTTCGGGAAAGCTTCTGTCTACCCTAGCAGGAGTCTATTTTACCTAATAAGAGGGCTCTGGCCACCTCCTCTCTACTCACTTTCGACCAGAGACAGAAAAACATTAGTTTTACACAAGTTTTTGAGAGTTTTTGTTGAAGATTTGTCCTAGCTATTTTGGAGAGACAGGCTTGCTCCTCTTGGTTTTCTAGAGAAGAAACCTCTGAACCCTCTTTATACTCTGATTTATTTGATGCATTATTCAGACATGATTTGTGTGTTTTCTTGTGCTATGGCTGAGTAGTTGATTTGTTAACCTAGGGTTCTAGGGTGTTGATCCAATGAACTGAACATAGAGAAATATCATTATTGCCTTTGCTCTCCACTGTTCTTAATGCTTATGCTAATTTGATCACTTAGTATTTGATTTCCAAGTTTAATCTTTTATCATTAATCCTGAATTAGATTGCTTGATCTGTTGAGAGCAAGCATCACATCCCTGATCAGCGAAAGTAGATATCAGGGTGTGATGTGAGCATTTTAGGTCTGTTCTTATTGTTTGCTGTTAAGTCGTGATACACGCGAGAGCGTAGTAGTTCATTGCTCTTCCGCGAAAGGAGCGCTGCTGCGAGAGCAGGGTGTTCTAGTTAGAAACCTAAGTTCTAGGCTGTTCTTAAAAAGCTTGAATAATTGTTTGGTTCATCATGATTAACACCCAATGATATACCCTAGGTTGACATCCTTATATCCTGAAATTAAAACCTATTTTAATTATTTGTTTCTCACTATTTGCTTCTTTACAAAACTTATAAGTTTTAGCTTGAAATTGATCTTATAAAAATTAAGTGTAATATTTGGTCTCTGTGGATTCGATCCTTAAGTGTTACATCGACATACCATTCGATTGTGGTAGTGTGCACATTAGGTTAATTGGTGTGCGTTCGCACGCGATATCAATTTGGCGCCGTTGCCGGGGACCAATAATTTTACCTTTATTTTTTGGCAATTTTTCTAGTCTAAAACATCTAACTTGCTCTATCTTTTCTTTGTTTGCAGCTGATGTTCCAGGTGTATGACCAGTAG